GAGAGAGAGAGAGAGAGAGAGAGAGAGAAAAAGTGTGTGTGTGTGTGTGTGTGTGTGTGTGTGTGTGTGTGTGTGTGTGTGTGCATGTGAGAGAGCATGTCCATCTGAGAGAGAGTGTACGAGTGCACATGTGTGTATGGTTAGAGAGAGAGAGAGTGTGTGCGTGCCTGATAGTGTCTGAATGTGTGTGTGTGTGTGTGTGTGTGTGTGTGTGTGAGAGAGAGAGAGAGAGAGAGAGAGAGAGAGAGAGCACTCACCACATTGGACACCTTCAGTTCATATGGCATGGGGTTGAACACCTGGAGAGCCACCTCACACACATCGTCCATCACCCACTGGAAGTCTGCAACAACGGACAATTTACAATAATTGTTATCAAACCAATCTATATCTACACATCTGAGCACACATAAAAAATGAAATAAAACAACGTTAATTAATTTTTTAGGTGAAAGTTATAAAAACTTTGAGAGAGCAGATTTTAATATTGCGAACTGTAAGGAGTAGAATGAATTCAAGTAAGAAAGGTGGATTAAAAGCAAAAATTCTGGACTAGAAATACATGAAATAACGTGGAATTTGTAATGGGGTATAATAAAGAATTTGGAGACTGTTAAGGGAAGTAGAATTTGGAAACAATCCTCCACTCACCCATTTTAGACCTGTCCTTCCTGACTCTGCCCATGGGCGCAGAGAACTGTAAGGGGGAGTAGATGAAAGGACTAGGAGACTGCTCTCTATCCGGGGTCAGCCTGGACTTGATGGCCACAGGGCGCAGGTGGAGCGGGAGATTCATTAGTTTCATGACTCTGAAAAACACATAAAAACTGGACTGGATATATATTACTTTAAATGCACACCAAACATTCATAGAGCGCATTCTCAACGAATTAAGCCAGGCTTTACAAAGCCGGTGACTTAAAAATGGCGGACGTACATGAAAGAAAAACCGCCTAATCTTTTAATAGTCTCTCCACCTCTCACACGCCTCCCCACACGTCGTCCCTGCGGGGTACAGTAATTAAATCTCGGCTCCGAACATTAATATTTCCGTGAATATCTCTTGTGATAATATCTCCGTAGATAGTCGATTCATTGCTGCTCTACGGGCCAAATTATTCCTTTTTCGTCTCTGTTTTCAAAGATAATAGAACAGAAGAGCTTTTTTCCTTCGATCGCCTTCAGCCGCCATGCTTTCTTCACCACGAGTTTAACTGATGAGCATGCGCACTTAATATTTCTCAGGTAGCTTCCGCATGGCGAA